GGCTTACAACTGCTAATATCCCTGGGTGGCCCTATTATCGACCAACACTTAATCATGAGGGAAAGAACCCGCATTTTCAGTTAATCGAGGTATTCACTGAACGGTCCTCGTTACCAGCTTGGCTGCCGCAGTCGAGGTAGCATACGACAACATCAGCCGCAAAAAGTTTTAGTTTCTTGGTTCAAATTCAGCACGTAACAAAAACGCATATAAAACTAGCAGCTGATAGGTTAATTGGCGTCATCCAGGCTCGCGTGGCCTGTAGACAGCACAGGTGTGATTAGCGTAGGAAGAATGAAAGACAGGATCAAGTTATTTTAGCAGGCAAAAACAAAGCCGATTTGTCTGTCAATTAGAAGCCGATGTGCACGCGTATATGCACTCAACATCACGATTGGAAGGCTTATTGACTAGCTTTTGCGCCAATTTGGAGGCACACATTCACACTACGCGGCTCAATTACAACACGACAACCAGTGTCTGAGATCGCGCACTGGTGGTCACATAGAGGAATTTGTGTGGGGAGTGCATTAACTCTCCAATTCATTGTTCTGCTGATTTTGCGTAGGTGATTAGTGGAATTTTTTATACCTTTATCACTCGGATGGTCTTGTGACTGAGCCAGCTCAACCAGTCGTGAGGCTGCAGCTGTCTTCGTTAAATGCTAATCTCAGTCCTGTACTTCGCTTATGTCTGTTGCAAAAGGAAATGTTTTTGATTAGCAATTAGTGGCCATGATATACAACTCATATGAAACAAGATTCTGCTGTAATTATTAGACCTTGTTGCCGTCCTAAAGTCTAGCACTTTTAAATCCTTTGAGCTAGAAAAGGAGTTCCACAAATTTATCCAAATTAAGACCGCCCTAAATGCATGAATCTTCGTACTAGTAAGTGGTCGCGACTTTTCTGTAATTTAGAACAGGCGAAATTTTGTTTTTAGATTACGCAATTGAAGATAGACCACAATCCGTTTGCCAAAGGTTTTCGAGACAACGGAAGCGGAAGACGTGAAAAAAAGTAAGTTCGACCACCACTACGTAAGCGTTCGCTTTTACATCGGTGATTTTCAACTACAGTTGACTTTTTCCAATTAATCATGAATGGAAACATAATATCAATGACTTCAAGGCACCTTTATAACG